AGTTCACATTTTAATTTTTGTGTACTTACCTTATCAACAAATATCTAACAGCTACACTTGCCTTACGTGTTTTAGTGCAAAAATGTGGGAAGTAGTTCACATTTTAATTTTTGTGTACTTACCTTATCAACAAATATCTAACAGCTTCACTTGCCTTACATGTTATAGTGTGAAAACGTGGGAAGTAGTTCACATTTTAATTTTTGTGTAGTTACCTTATCAACAAATATCTAACAGCTACACTTGCCTTACATGTTATAGTGTGAAAACGTGGGAAGTAGTTCACATTTTAATTTTTGTGTACTTACCTTATCAACAAATATCTAACAGCTACACTTGCCTTACATGTTATAGTGTGAAAACGTGGGAAGTAGTTCACATTTTAATTTTTGTGTACTTACCTTATCTACAATTTGTTGTTGTCTATGGTGCTTTTGTCTCAAAATGGCGACTTCTTTCCACAAAAACTCTTTTTCTTTTTTCATACGAGACAAGAGTGAGTTCATACTCTCTTGTTTTCCACAAATATTCTTCACATCAAACAAAACTTCTTGTAGAACCTTTGTTGTTTCTTGAGTACTGTCTGCAGACTTAGTTGATGTTGTCTAAAAGACAGAAATAAAAATACTTAAAACACAACAAAACATTTTATTCTAGTATCCATATTTTGACCGATGTGTGTCAATAATTATTATTCAAATAGCCAAATCTAGCATCTGTTATTTGAATATCTATTTTATCACTTAAAAAGTTATTACAGACAGATTCATCATTTTTGACATTTTAAGTTGCCAAACCAATTTTAACATGTTCAGTATTTCTTAACATGTTCAATTATTAATTAACATGTTCAATTATTAATTAATATGTTTAATTATTAATTACTTTGCAATTTTTAAATTATTTTTCTAGCTATTTGTTCCTTTTTTAAATTCAAATCTACCAATGAAAAGCCTTTAAAAATTCTCTGCTACTGATATTTACGAGGCCTGTGAGAAAAGTATCCGACCTTATTTTTTTTTGCGATAACCTGATGGATTTGAATCAAGTGCGCTTGCATGAGCCGACCTTGAACCTTCGTGCGCATGCGTGAATTTTTTCCCGCTTGTTGATTGCGTCAGTTGTTGGCAAGCAGCCATTGAGTGAGGTAGTGTGTAGTGCTCTCGTCGGTTTTTCATTGCAAGGAAAATGACGGAATGACTGGAGCAGCGCTACTGCATCAAATTTTGCCAGAAACTGGAAAACATTCGGAAGATTCAGACGGCTTTCGGTAACGATGCTATGGGCATCACACAGATTAAGGAGTGGTACAACCAGTTTAAAGACGGCCACACAATGGTGGAGAGCGAGCCACGCTCCGGTTGGCCATCAACATGCCGAAATGACCAGGTCATTGCCAAAGTGAATGCTATGGTGATGTGGGACCATCGTGTGACTATCCGAGAAATTGCGGAAGAGGTGGGCATCAGCACTTTTTCGGCACATTCCATTATGACCGAAGATTTGGCTATGAAGAGAGTAGCGGCGAAATTCGTGCCGAAGCTGCTTACGGCGGAGCAAAAGGAACTTCGTGTTGAAGTCTCACAGGACATGCTGGACTCCACAAACAGTGACCCCGACTTCATGAACACCATAATCACTGGTGACGAGTCTTGGGTGTACGGGTACGACCCGGAAACCAAATCCCAGTCGTCACAGTGGAAGCATTCCATGTCACCAAGACCAAAGAAGGCCCGCTAAGTGCGCAGCAACGTCAAAGTGATGCTGACTGTTTTCTTTGACTCCCGCGGTGTGGTACACCACGAGTACGCACCACAGGGTCAAACAATCACCAAAGAGTACTACAGGGATGTCCTCCGTCGCCTACGTGATGCTGTGAGGCGCAAGAGACTGGAGTTG